GCCAGCGCTTCTCTTTTACGCATACACATCTAAGGTTAGCCAGCGTGGCCCCCCAAAGAAGTATGTTTTGGCACTGTGTAGTTATACGTAAGCTACATGGTGCAAGTTGTGTGGTGCAAGCTACTGTCCAAAACCTGCTAGAAAAGAAAACACCCCCCTCCTTCCCCCCCAGGACCCCGGTTGCCATTAATTCGCCGCCTGCTATCTTTAAAAGACTGCTGAGTTTGGGATTTTTTAACGGAGACCGAACGATGATATGGATAAAAACACACACATACATGCTTGTATACATATATTTGCACACACACACACGCAAGCACGCGCAAGCACCGGCACATGCGTATGAGCTGTATGCGCACAGATGTGCAGGCTACTTCGGTCGACGCGGAAGTAGTCTACGTTTTACTGGAACACTGTACATACGCAATGCGCAACTGCGCGCGCGACTTCCTGCGCGTGTGCGCGGTGGCGTCCAGTTCTCGCTTTCAGCAGTCTTTGGTGCCTGCTGGGCCCAGCGCCACCGCGCGCGCCCCCCGCGCGAGGCGCGCGCGCGGTTTTCCAGTCCCGATCACGCGTCTGGCTTCCGCGTCCAGTGCGGCAAATTCCGCGGGCCGCCGCGGGCGCGGCGGCCTCCGCGACCGCATCGTTGCGGCCTTGCCCTTAGCGGACTGCGCGCTGTCCCACACCGTCTGGGCCGGGGGCCGCCGCGCGCCCGGCAGCCTTGCCCCTCGCGCGTGGTGTGTGTGTGTGTGTGCGTGTGCGTGTGCGTGTGCGTGTGCGTGTGCGTGTGCGTGTGCGTGTGCGTGTGCGTGTGCGTGTGCGTGTGCGTGTGCGTGAGCGTGTGCGTGTGCGTGTGCGTGTGCGTGTGCGTGTGCGTGTGCGTGTGCGTGTGCGTGTGCGTGTGCGTGTGCGTGTGCGTGTGCGTGTGCGTGTGCGTGTGCGTGTGCGTGTGCGTGTGCGTGTGCGTGTGCGTGTGCGTGTGCGTGTGCGTGTGCGTGTGCGTGTGCGTGTGCGTGTGCGTGTGCGTGTGCGTGTGCGTGTG